GTATTGAGAAACTTTTGTTATTGACCAAATACTTATTTTCCACCATAATTAGCAAATAAATTCATAAAAAATCCTACAATGTGATTTTCTGGATTTTTTTTCTCATTTTGTCTGTCATAGTTGACGTGTACCTATGATGAAAATTACAGGCCTCTCTCATCTTTTTAAGTGGGAGAACTTGTACAATTGGTGGCTGACTAAATACTTTTTTTCCCCACTGTAGGGTTAATCTGTTTTACAGTGTGATCCTATTGTAACCTTAGTGCTGTGGACTATGACTTCAGTAATGTTCTGGGAGGTGGATCCTGTTCCGCTGGGCAGGTACGTGTAGCTGCAGTCCACCGAATCGGTGTGTCGAAAGGAGTGGGTGTATGGAAAGCGAATCAGCCAATTGGGCAGATTTGTTGCCACTCAAGACCGTTTTTGCGTGGCTGATTGGGCTGCACTACGAGTCGATGGTAAGCCATGACCAGTGCTCCGGTGTTGTACCTGCCGAAATGAAGTGCTTCCTACTGGGTAACGTTATAATGGTCTGTCGCCGGCGAGAGCTAAATGGGATTTTTTTTTTTCTCTCACGATTTTATTTCAAGAAATAACTAATATTGATAATCATCTAGATGTCACCTTGATACATACAGTCTACTACTCGATGGGGATGGTATGAAGGGCAACACCGGGACACAGTGCCCTTCGCTCCCGCTTGACAAGCACTACTGCCTGGTAACGGCGTGGTAAGTAGCTACCTAGTATCCCATATCAGGCTGACAGTCACAGCACACACATACAAGACATGATGCAACAGTACACACATCATCAATACTTTTAATAAAAAATAAACCGTTTTATAACTGAAAATGTACAATTATTTGTGCCAAACTAACAGTGAAATATGACTCAGACTTATCCTCTCGCTTAAAAACAGAAGTCCAAACTGTCGCGATATGGTAGCTCAATGTACGGTAGCTCAATATACGGTAGCTTAATATACGGTAGCTCAACGTACGGTAGCTCAATATACGGTAGCTCAACGTACGGTAGCTCAATATACGGTAGCTCAGCGTACGGTAGTTGTCTGGTAAGAAACAGAAGAAAAAAAACACAGCTCAATCAAAACCGTCCAACCCTATAGCAGAGAACTTTCCACACACCCACTCCTTTCCTTTCCACACACCCACTCCTTTCCTTTCCACACCCCCACTCCTTTCCTTTCGACACACCCACTCCTTTCCTTTCCACACACCCACTCCTTTGCATTCGACACACCCACTCCTTTCCTTTCGACACACCCACTCCTTTCCTTTCCTTTCCATACACCCACTCCTTTGCATTCGACACGTCCCCCTCCCCCACACTCCGGTCGCCATATTGGGATGCAGCTACCCCCTTCTCCTGGGGAACACTGATAGAGGGTGGGTGTTACAGGATAAGTCACCCCTTGCTCACTACGACCGCGTTCATTTTGGTTCCCAGACAAACGTGATCATGCCCTACTCCAATTTCTTCCAGAGCACCATTTAAGTGAGACGACCCCAGGGCAGGCAGCCCCTCTCCCCCTAGCAGACCTGGGTTCAAATACTATTCAAAATCGTTTCAAATACTTTATCTCTGCTTAGTTAAGCTTGTCTGGCGTGATGTAACCAATAGAATAATCACAACAGTGCAAACCCCACTCATCTGGCATGCTAGGCAGGCTAAGCAAATGCTAAAAGTATTTGTAAAGACTTCAAATAGTATTTGAAGCCAGGTCTGCTCTCCCCCTGCCTGCTGCTCCCAGCTAACCCCTCATATGGAGAGGGCCTGAGACCTGACATGCCTGCTGACATTTCTCTATAGATGATCTCTCTGGCTGGACACACGGGGAGCAGATAATGTCATAATGTCACATACAGGAACGATTAAGGGTTATCTAATATCCAATCTCACAGCAGTGACTACCAAAGAGAAGATACATACAGTCTCAATATTCAGTGTAAACCTTTAAGAAGCTCTGTAACATTCTTGACAGGTCCCAGATTGGTTAGGCCCAGCAGTCAGTCATGCAGATTATACAACACGAACACAAATGTCCTAGTACGTACTCACAAGATGTCAGAAAAGCCTCCTGGCTTGCTCCGTTTATAAATTCTCTGAAAACTTTCAATCCCAAAACGAATGTTTTCTGTATACTGGCGAATTATTTAATTTCCGAACAATTTATTTTAAAGCAACACAACTTTCTCCATGCATCTTCTATGTCTGTCTGTCTGTCTGTCTGTCTGTCTGTCTGTCTGTCTGACACGATAAATAGAAGGAGTGAGACCAGTTAGTGCTAGACCACCATTCAGAGGGAGAGTAACAACCCATTCAGATGACTGGACCACAAATAGAACGGTGACACATCACATGGCCGAGCAGCTGTGACGACAGAACACACCCCTCTCTCTCTCTCTCTCTCTTTTCTCTCTCTCTCTCTCTCTGTCTCTCTCTCTCTTTTCTCTCTCTCTTTCTCTCTCTCTCTCTCTTTTCTTTCTCTCTCTCTTTTCTCTCTCTCTTCTTTTCTCTCTCTCTCTCTCTCCTCTCTCTCTCGCTCTCTCTCTCTCTGCTCTCTCTCTCTCTCTCTCTCTCTCTCTCTCTCTCTCTCTCTCTGTCTCTCTCTCTCTGTCTCTCTCTCTCTCTCTCAAGCGAAATAGATAATAAACTATACAAACTTAACAGTAAACATTACACTCACAAAGGTTCCAAAAGAATAGAGACATTTCAAATGTCATAT